GACAAAATTAAGTATATATAAATGAAATAAGTTTTTTTAATGTTTGTTTTTTATTATTATACCAGATTATAGCAAATTTGTTGTCCTTATTAAAGATATAAGTAGAAGACATAAAGTCAGTCTGTAGGGAGGACACACGTATGGTGTAGGAGCTGCAGAAACTGTGTCTGCATTTCATAATTTCACATTGAAGCAGGAATTGTAGGTGCACTGCAACAAGAAATTAAGTGGCAATTAATGGACTGAAAAACAGGAAGGAAAAATTCAGCAAAGGTCAAATTAAATGTGAGTATGAGTGGAAATGAATGACTCGCTTACTACGTGGATGCTGAAAGTGGGAGTGAAGTCTCAGAGAAGTTAATAGAAATGAGATACAAGAACAGATTGTAGAGGATTTCCTGAACCCATCAGGAAGAGAGGCTTGACGGGTTTGACAGAAAAGGGCAAAATAATGCAGAAGTGCAACGATTGCAAGACTCAACAACAAAAAAACGAAGTATATAACCCTCCCGTCTTTATTCTTTTCTCTCAGGGTCCTCCTGGAACCCCCGGACCCCCTGGTCCTCCTGGTCCCCCGGGCCCTGGCATCGATATGTCTGCCTTCGCTGGTCTGGGTCAGACTGAGAAAGGCCCCGATCCTCTCAGGTACATGAGAGCCGACCAGGCTTCTGGAAATCTCCGACAGCATGATGCTGAGGTCGACGCCACTCTCAAATCTCTCAACAACCAGATTGAGAACATCCGCAGCCCCGAGGGATCCAAGAAAAACCCTGCTCGCACCTGCAGAGACCTGAAACTGTGCCACCCTGACTGGAAGAGCGGTGAGTGACACCGAGGGGAATTGGCTAAATTTGGGGTGAGATGAGAAAGCAGACAGGAATTTTTTGCCTTCTCAATTTAGTAAAGTCAAGGTTTGTATTAGCTAAGGTTTTGTAGTTGGGGAGTGTTTGGATTGAGCTGATTTAGTCTGTTTTTTCAATATTAGAAAAACAAAACATTATACAATAAATAAGTACAATAAATAATAATAAGACCGAGAATGATGTGCTCCCATGTTCCTATCTTTTTCCATCTGCAGGAGAGTACTGGATTGATCCCAATCAAGGCTGCACCGTAGATGCTATTAAGGTCTTCTGCAACATGGAGACAGGGGAGTCCTGCGTCCACCCCAAGCCTTCCAGCATCCCTCGCAAGAACTGGTGGACCAGCAAGAGCAAGGAGCGCAAACATGTCTGGTTCGGAGAGAGCATGAATGGAGGATTCCATGTAAGTCGCATCAACATTTTTAAATTCTCTGTGCCTGTGAAACGGAAAGCGGATTCACTGCTATGCACATGTTAAACTATTTTAAAAAGTCAATGATATGAAAACAGTGGAGGCAGGTCGGCAGTTCAGCATAAGTATTGATCATTGATTGACACGTCTATGGATTCTGCTGCCTTTTCCATCGTTTTCTCTTAAGCCTATACTAGTCTTACTTAAAGCAAAGTTAAAAAGCATCTTGGTCTCAAGAAGAAACCTTATAAATAAACTTTAGCAGAAGAATAAAAAGCACATTTTGGCTGAGCGAGGACATAAAATCAATGACTCCCTCTTAAAACCCCTATATGTAAGGTTTTTAAAACCTGAAACATCTCAACAACCAGTAAAAAAACACACATAAAAACAATTGCAACTGTTATTCTAACCTTCCCTTCCTTGAATTCCTATGCAATGCAGTTTAACTATGGCGATGACAGCCTGGCGCCCAACACTGCCGCCATTCAGATGACGTTCCTGAGACTGCTGTCCACTGAGGCTTCTCAAAACATCACCTACCACTGTAAGAACAGCGTGGCCTACATGGACGGCTCGACAGGCAACCTGAAGAAGGCCGTGCTGCTGCAGGGCTCCAATGA